TTTGAAGAATTGATAGATAAAAATGTTCTTGTTTTGATTAAATTTGAAGCGCCACAGTGTGTACACATATTTGAATTTAGGTATACTGTAAAATACTCTATTTTAATTGGAATTAATTTTCGCTGAAAAGATTTTGTGGTGTGTTTTGTACGTAATTTATTTGCACTGTTTTTGATGAGTTGAATGTAAAATATAGGAAAAAAGGTATATTCGCTGGATTTTATTTGCATTGAATCATTCCTTCAGCGAAAATAACGAAAATAAAGTATTTTACAGTATTAACAAAAAATGAATTTTACACATGTTGCATGGGACTACATCAAACACAGCACTGTGTGATGATGACACATTTTAAAATGTCATTGAGAGACTACAGTGTTAAATATGAATATGCAATCATCTTCTATTATGGCAGATTTACCTCGTCGGCAACGCTAAAATCCAAGTAAATTATCACCATTGTTATTCACGTTCATTGTTGCTGTACTGTAAAATACTTTATTTTAGCTGGAATTAATTTTCGCTGAAAAGACTATTTGGGTGTTTTGTATGGGATTTATTTTCACTGACTTCTGACGAGTTGCATGTAAAATATAGGAAAAAAGATATACTCGTTGGATTTTATTTTCACTGAATTATTCCTTCAGCGAAAATAGCGAAAATTAATTTCAAGCGAAAATAAAGTATTTTACAGTATGTGAATTGTACATCTACAATTAGAATATATCTTGCAACACTGCTGTCATCACCGCTAAAAAATACTATTTATTTTGTTAACAGTCAACGACGCCCAGTCACAGCATTGGCGCTAATTTCCAAAACGTTTTAGCCATGATGAAACTACACAACCCAGCCTGGTGTGATGGACATGCTCAACATTATGCGAGAACGCCACGAAGTGCGAAATCAGCACCCCCGAGGAGGAGGCGGACATCCATATCATCGACATCAACATCCGATAGCGATCTGTCAGACTTACTTCATGCACTACAGGACGAATTTGGACAAATGGGGTTGTAAGTATTTAAATCAAGTTTTTATTCACATAACAAATTGAAATAAATGCTTTTGCACTCTCATAATATGAAGGAATGATTAGTGAAGAGATCATGCAGTTTATATTTTCTTCAATGGAAATGTTGTTCGGATTACAAGTTTGTTCTTTACAAACCCTTTAATTTTATAAATTTCACGCAAGTTACAGCAACTTTTTCTTTAAACTTTAAAGATACGACTTTCGCACAAATTTTGAATCATCAATTAAAGTAAGTTCCTAGCAGAAAGTCATAGAGTTTTTAATATATAGCGGTACTCAAGCATTCGAAGCTGCATTGTTGTAAATTTATGTCATTTGAGTTTTTTGAAACATATCTAGAAATATTTAATGTCCAAATCTACTTATATTAAATATGTGGCCACTTAAGTTTTGTTGAATTAATATTATTTGTGATTTCAGTGAACATCAGGAACTAGCAAAACAAATACAGGAAGCAAATGATCCCAGGATACAGGAAGATCTTGAGAGAGAACTGGACGACTTGGTATCTAGGATGGAAGCAAAAGGAGAACAAATATCAAGACTTAAACGACACAGAGAAACGGTATGCTTATGTGGCTTTTATATATGGTGCAGGTGTCAATAGAGAGCGATATTTCAACGGAATATGGCAGCCATCTTGAATTTTGGTATTATATTTACAGTAAGAAGTCAATGTGTTATCTCTTTTTCAAATGTTACTTATTTTAATGCAATTTTGTTAACAATTGTAATTTTTGCATTTTTATTTATTCTATTTTAGTTATCTGAAAAAAAGAAGAAAAGGCAACGATCGCGTAGCCGACCTTGCAGCGGCCGTCAAAGGGCAGCTTCAGTGACCAGCCCACTGTCATCCAACGGAGAAAGTACAAGTGGAGAAGTCCAAGTGATAACGACCGTGAAGACTAGAGGGCGTATCGCACAACCAGTCACTATACAGCAAGGGGACGGCAAACAGAGCCTCCGCATGTTGAAAGATATGCAGACACTGAAGACATCACTTCGTAAAGACGATGTCAAATGGGACTGATCAGTAGCATGATTCATATTGATTCAGTTCCATGGCAACAATGTAGTCAATTATTGACTTGATGACAATCCAGTCATTACGACAACAATTCAGGTATTGTCTTGACAGTGTTCCAGTCAACGCATCTACCCTATGCAGTGTCCTGACTACCATATTTGCTTTATTAGAAGTACATCCCCGATACAGGCGGATGTACATTGTATTCCAAGAATGTTTGCTTCGATTGTATTGTATACCACAGCTGTATTTTTGAATTTACGTACTCTTCCGAGCGAG